ACGATAAACTGGAAGTCGTAATAGTGCTGGCGTGTGAAAAGGGGCTTTGGTACGGCTAACATTTTATGGCGCGTCATGATCGAGGATATCGCGCTTTGATCGTTCCGTTGATCAACTAGTTTACCTGTGTGTCGCGGTCCTCCTCCTTAGTGTCGGGGTCGTGTATCTATCAGGCCGACGTAGGAACGAGAACTAACGCAATAACTCTTAGAGTAACTTAATGAATTCCGAATGCTTCTTGTTTAAGAAGGAAAAACACGACTGAGCCCCTACTTCCGACCTAGAGACTCCTTACCTGTCCTTGAACCTTTTCCACGCAGCGGTCCACTGCGAGGTACTTCTCCATTCCCTTCATCCAAGTCCCACTCTAGACGTGGAACGCCGACGTCTGCTCCTCTTGTCCTGTCTTGCCGGATGTAGCTCGTTGTCCCTGTATTGAGCAGACCTTCTGGATGCAGTCCGCGAGAATGGCGCGACCTCCTTCTAGCCGTAGACCGTGACATGTGTCGTGGAATGGGTACGACTTGGCGCAGATTAGGAAGAAAACAGAACATATAGAAGCTTGTAGAGAGAGAGAAAAAAAAGTAGTGAGATTATTGTGTTACCGTGCTTTTAGTGCTCGGATAGCCTCAGAGCCAATCATTTAGAAATTAAATAGAAACTTCAAGATAAGCATAGAAATTCTCTGTCTGTGAACCGATTACCGATAGTGAACCGGTTTGTGGGCTGCGGTACTGTCGAGGAACAGCACAAGGATGAGACAGAGCAGATCGTTATGAGCTCGATAGTCCTTTCTTGCCGTGTCGACTGGCGACATGACATTAACCCGGCTCAGGACCATCCCTCATAGAGGGTCGCTAAGTGCACGAAGGCCAAGCTATCCTGTTTCTGGTGGTCCCGTACACGTAAACACTGGTGCTTCGTCAGATTCTCACTTTGAGAAAAACACTTAACCCAAGTCTTCTTTGGGTGCTTATGCTGTATGCGCGCGCGCGAACGAGGATTTGTGCCGACCATGATAACAGTTTTAATTATGTTAATAGAGGTCGATGTATTTTTACATGTAACTCCGACTTAACTCTTTCATATAGAAACCAGTTTCATGAACTTGAAGCGGTGCACGTTCAATTTCCTCGAGATCGGAGGTCCACTTTGTCCAGCAGTGTAGGATCGAAGCTCATCACTGCAAAAGCCGGACTTGCTCATCGTTGAACTCCCGTATTACATGTACCAGCAAAGTCTGCTGAGCAAATGCAAATTTTCCCTATTTATGCATTTTTGCAAGCTGTTTGTCACGGTATTTCAACACAGTTCACCTCGTGGCAAATGTAGGCAAGCTCTAAGCTATTTAACGTGTTTGTACTACCTTTTGGCTCCTGTCAAAAGAAAATGCACTAGGTTTGCTAGTGGAAGAAAAAAAAACTTGCTGAGCGTTCAAATGATAATAATGATCAAAACCGTAATGCACTACACTATCATTTAATATGCAAAGAACTTAAGCTCGTGTCACGAATGAGTGTATTCAATGTGGCCTCACGCTATTACAAAATATTTAATTTAGGTTTTTAAACCAGTATCCTTTTCTATTCTATCACATGCATCTATCGCATATTCTCTTCTCGTCTCACTTTGTAGTATGGCATCTCGCCGCATCTAACTAACATTTAACATTACTTTCAGATCCAAGTGGCCACCGCTTTCAGTAGACTGGGGAATCCAAAGCACCAAGGATCCACCTCCTGTGCCAGGAAGACCCAACAGGCCTGGTCGCCAGCGATCCAAATACAACGTTTTTCCTCCCAAAGTTGTCACATTAGAGGTCCAAGTCGCAGAACTACCTCTTGATACATCCACCTCGTCGATTTTGCCGCCACCGGAGTGGATATTCACAGTCACGTCTTTCGTATCGCTACTCTGGAACATCAAAGTGACAGTCCCATCGCCTTCCTTGGTCCAGATTCCTGAACTTCTGTTGAACGCCTTGCCATCCGTTTTCAATCCTAGCGAACTATTGGCAGGGCCATCGTCAATTTCACCGATAAACTTCGTCGGTCCGCAAATTGTCTGGAGGAATTCTCCAATCATATTGCCGATGCCCTTGATATCCCAAACACCATAGAAAGAAGCAGCCTTGTCAGCAATCTTGTACGCGTAGTGCTCAGCGGTCAGATACGTGCCGTTATTGCTTGTCCCGGACTTGATAAGATCCTCAACGATAACTCCTAACGTTGTTCGTAACGTGTTTCGAATTTGATAAGCTTTGGCTTCACCCGATTCTGCAATCAATTCCTCCATGCAATTGTTCGTAGCCACCGGGATATCGTTCAACACAAGATTCGATTTGCTCATGTAGACGCGAAGTTCATTCTCTGACATTTGGGGGTTTTGGTTTCGAAGAGATAAGACAGTCATCCAGGCGCGGTCGGCGATGCGCTTCATGTCGTGGCCACAGGTTGAATTGGACTTCATCGCTCGCTCTAGCGACGTGATTTCGGAGCTTTTCAAATCTGAGATTGACTCTCCAAGCGCAATTTTCTTCATGAAGTTTTTGAACGAGTCCCAACTCTCGAGGATTGACTCTTTATCGGCCATAACTTGCCTCAGGATCAGCTCGCCAGTGTTTGTGATCTTGTCGTAAAATCTGATGGGGTCAGCTTTAACGACGATTCCCATACATTCTGCGACCGTGACTGGAATATCAAAGACCACGTTGTCCGTCTGGTACAAGACATCCAGCGCTTTCTCTTGAGTGGTTTGTGGGTCAGTTACCATGATATTGCGGACGAATTTGCTCAGATGCTTGACCAAATTTGCCATCTCTTTAGCGCACCTGAAAGCAGTTCGAACAGCTTTCGCCATCAACTTGAACTCTCCATATACATTAAAGAGCGACATAGCCATCACGGATTGAAACGCATACGCAGTCTTGGTCACGATCTCGAGCTTACAGTCGTCGTTCTGTCGGATGCATTCCATGCCACACTTGACCGGGAATTCCATCGGACATTGCGCCCAACATGTGTCCCATTTGCTGTTAAACCCCAGTGGACACGTTTTACCAATATGTGCCTCGCGATAGCACGCTGTGTCCGATGGTCTTTTCACTGGACCAACCCAGTTCGTGTAGGTTGACTTGAATGTACTAACTGCTGTTGTTGCCGAGTTGATCGTAATCTGTCTCGGATTTGTGGACCCCGACGCTGAACCGGATACGCTTGAAGAGGTCGGATCTGTAGTATTCGATGTAGAATAGTTGGAGTGTTGTGAAGTAACTGGGTTGGAAGCTGCTGCAGTTGGTGTGGAAATACTGTGGAATCCGAATTCTGGTGTGGATGAAGAAACCATAACGAACAGAGATAGCAACGCATACCACGTGACCACGTAGTTCATTAGCCCAGAATGGCAAGAGCCGACGAGCAGCCCCTAAGCCGAGGAAATGGAAAATGGCGTTATGTCATGTTCTGATAGGATGCGGTTCGATATGGCTGAGCGGGGGCACCCCATTTCAGTTCCTTGATGTGTCCGATTGTTGGTTTTGCCGGCGTTGTAGTCGCGATCTTCAACTTCAGAATGCACATCGATGAGGCGGGACAGATCGTCGAGAATGTATGGATGGGCGGGACTTTCTTGTCGAGATGATCGAAGGGGACGCCGAATTTGAGGCATTCCAACGTTATGACAACCAAATAGTCACTGTAAAGCATCACCAGGGGGCAGGAAGCAACATTGAACTATGAGTAAAATGTAGGACGTAGCGATTTGGTTGTCAGTGCTGCTCATCTCGGTACGAAAAACGATTGTGATGCACATGGATTAAAATAGTCTACAGGACCGCAAGGCCGTCCAAACACAAGCGGAAAGTAATCGATGTCCGATCTATTAATACATGAACTGCTAGAAAAAAAAAATCTTGAAATTTAAAAATTACAAGATTTGTTTTCTTCTAGCAGCTTAGAGGTAAGCTTAAAAAAAATATACCTATCTTGATTGGCCGGTTTACATGTGCAGTACAAATACGTAATACTCCAAGCCCCCAACTCACTCACGTACATCGAACGAATGCTCTTGCGTGTAGCACTACCGGAGGCTACTCGAGGAAGCAGGCCAGGTTCTGCTATCTTTGCTGTAAAATAAATCTTGATTTGGGGGGGGGCTGAATTCAAGGAGCTACAGTACCTAAATAGAAGGGCAATTTAGCGTCTACGTTGGTCTCATCCCCTGTTTATGATCTCGATAAACGAGTGTGTAGCGCAGCTTAATATGCACATGAACACTTCCATAAGGAAGATAATTTGGATGCCTTTGCCGTCGCACTTGCATGCATCCGGCTCGATCGTGCCTTGTTGTTCATCGTCGCGATATAGTCGTGGGTATTTTAAGTCTTCAGCTGTACGTGTTGCATGACAATTCATTGCTACCAACGTTAACATTAGGTTCCCGTAAAACGGTGAAGTAGGGTGGGCAGGATTGCTGCAATTGTTGTTGATGGCAAGCACAGCGGGCACCACACACGCATAAACAAAAAAATGCAAGATTTTCGTACAAAGGATTCGAGGTGCGTAATATTCCCTAAGATGAGTCTTTCACTTGAGAATGCTCTGGACGTAGGCGATCGTATCCTGCAGGCTTCTCGGATAATGCGTCGGCTCAGCTTCAAAATCCTGTAGTAGCCACGTAGGAAGACACAGTTAACAAAAGTTATCAGTGGATCAGCGGAGTCAACACACCACCATTACCTCAATTTCATCCAGTTGCGCTGCAATATTCTCGAGAGTGAGTTGATCTTTCGAGAATACGACACCGCGCGATCGTTGCCATCGCGCCTGAGCCACCCAACCACCTCCCACTTCGTACACATTGCCCGTCCGATCGCAGCTATCATGGCACAAATATCTGCAGCCAGGTCGTCAGCTACACGTTAGTCAGAGCTAAGCCACCATTCTGTAGTACTAAATCTTACGCAACGAAAGCAGCGACGCTCTCGGGCGTCAGTTTGTCGTTCAGCTCTTTCTCCAATAGTCCGTCGGTCATCTGCGACTTGGCCAATGGAGCCACGACGTTCGCCATGATATTGCGCTTGTAGCCTTCCTTACACAGCGTGAATGTAAGTCCAGCAATACCCAGCTTCATGGCCGAATAGTTGGCCTGTCCGAAATTCCCATACAACCCGGAAGCCGACGCCACGTTCACAATGCGTCCGAATTCCTGCTCCCTCATGACGTCCCACGATGCCTTGGTCATCCTATGGACCACGAGGTTAGTATTCTACCCGGTAATATCCTCCATAGGCCGCCCCACCTCATCGTTCCTTCTAAATGCACTTTGTACACGTCGTCCCACTGCTCTTGTGTCATTTTAGCGAATGAGCTGTCCCGAATAATCCCCGCGTTGTTCACGAGGATGTCCACGCGGCCCCCTGTTTAGTCCTCAGCGTCAGCATTCGGCAAGTTATCGCTGTTAAAACGGTGCGTACATTTATCCAGTGCTGCGTCTACTACTTTGTGCCCCTCAGTGACACTGCTGTAATTGGCTAGAGCTTTGTTGCCCCCTCCAAGACGCTGCACAACGTCATCAGCTGCAGACGCTTGAAGATCGTTAACAAGAACATTGGCGCCTAAGTTGCCCAGATATTCAGCGTAGGCACGGCCCAGTCCATTACCAGCGCCAGTGATGATTGCCACTGTGCTCAAATACGACGTTAGAGAAAGAAGAACGGGTAAAACGAAGATGTAGAGCGCTGTATACCGCGTTGGTCGAAGCGCATTGTGGCAGATTCGAAAGTGTTGACGCGATCTCAAATTGAAGTTGAAAAGATGTGGTGGACGTAATATTTGTGTTTTTTCCCTGGACTAATTTGTCCGAGTTTTTTGTCATAAACTTCTTCAGTTTTGTAAGCTGAGCGACTCTTTGTTTTGGACAGCCAAGATTCCGAATTGTGCACGCACCGACAGATATAATGGAGCAGTACGAGTGTGAGGATGCGGTGCAGACGGCACTGCAACAGCGGCGGCCACAGCACATCGTAACCATCATCAACAAGGCAGGCGAGCGGCATTGTTCTCGCATACTTGATTTTAGGCCGCTCAGGATGTGCTAACAACCTCATATCTTACACTTTATAGTTCCTGGCACAACAGCACAGTGAAGGCAAGAGCACCGTGCCCGCCATCGACTTCGTGTGTCTCGAATGTCGTGACGACGGTGCGTGGCTTGTCGATATTGATGTCAAAGCGATTAATACTAAAGCTTAGTCATATTTGCAGGGCCCGAGGGCAACGCACGTGCCTTCTTCTCAGCACCGCCACCCACCGTCGTCTTCTGTGCCAACCGTCTACACTCAGCACGGGAAGTAGAGGAGACCATGGTACACGAACTCATCCACGCCTACGATGTACGTAGTTAAATGGGCGAGATTGAAATTTAGATGTTCCGTCAGTGTTGACAAATGTTCTTTGTTACAGTTTACAGTGCGCAAGATGGACATCACCAAGTCGGACATCTTGGCCTGCAGGTGGACACCGTCTCGATCGGAACATTAAACATACTGGTTATGTGGTACTGACTGTTTGTTACTCTGTGTTGTAGTGAGATCCGGTCTGCGCGTGAGTCCGAGTGCTATCAAAAGGCGAAGTTACTCGAGACTGTGCTGCCAAACGTCGAGTTCTTCCAGAAAAGTGCACGCTGGCTCAATGCACGATGCGTTCGTGAACACGCTGTACGATCTACAAGTGTAAGCTGCTCCTTTCGTGCTGTTGGTATGTACCAAATTGGAAAATTGACAGAATTCTGGTGGTTTTGTGTTGCAGTCCATGTTTCCTGCTGAAGCGCGTGATGAAGTCGACAAGATGTTTGAGCAGTGCTATACCGACCACAGTCCGTTTAAGAATAAGTGATCCTCGTCGCGTAGTCTGTAAAAGCGGTGTGCGATGAGTTGTTCGTGCATAATAGAGAGCGATTAAATGTTATTTGAAGCTGTTTTTTTTTTTTTTTTTACTAGCGACGGTTCGATTCAAGTGCTTTTTAGCAACTCCCCAGTAAACCTCGCCTTAAAGCTATGTCGTCGGCGATACCTCCTGCAGCCAACACGAAGGATCCGAAGGTGCGAGCAGAGTTGTATATGGCTTCGCACGGTATCAAGGAACTCTTTGAGGGTCTGGGAACGCTCCTCCTCTATCACCGCCCGCCCAATCCTCGCGAATTCCTCATTCAGCAGCTCGATGAAATGCGAAAAGCGAAGCAGGAGCAACGCCACGTACGGTTACGAGCTCTCTGAATATTGTGGATTCAGCCAAAAGAATATAATGCTTGCCCTTTATAGGTGCCCTTCTTTGAAGAGAATGATCTCAAGGTGATGTTCGCTGCGTTCGACATCAAAGACCAAGGCTTCATCACCACGGAGCAATACGATCAAGGTAGTAAACCTGAACTTGTTACCTTTACCTGGATAGTTTAACCTGTTGCTTGTGGTTTTTAGCGTTGCTAAATCTTGGGATTGAAAAGCCGACACTCCGTTTACCCGAATCCGTGTCAACGATCAACCAAGCGCTCTTCATTCGTAGTGTGTACGTATTCATCATTGTATTAACGCTGCTACTTGACTCACTTCTTTACCCTTTACAGGACGCAAGAGATCAAGAACGCGTCAACCTCGTTCATGTGAAAGCTCTCCATACTACAATTCAAACCTTCCAAACCTTGCATTGTTTCAACATGTTATCCCTCGCTGAACTACTAGAATGTGAGATAGGGAGGACACGGACAAAACGATCTTGTAAGAGATCCATGCGTGTCGTTCCGACTCATATCTAGAAGCTCAAGCTTGGGGCAGAACCTTCTGAAATTAGGTGCTGTGAACACGTTCCAGAGTGCCAGAATGCCATCGTTGCGTATTCTGTTCTGACGAACATCGATTCGTCGTAATGCGCGAAGTGTACCTTTGAAAAAGGCGTGTGCAAGTGCCCGAGCGCCCTCATCGCCCAGTATATTACCTTGGAGCTCGATGTCAAGCAACTCCGGTAATGCTCCCTTTTCCAGAGCGGTAAGTAGAGTTGCGAATGCCTTGCTGTCGATATTGTTGCACCGTAAGTCAAGCTCTTGTAGCTGCGCACAGGCACCGCGAGTAAAACAATCTGCTAGCGCCGCTATGCCAGGATACTTGACGAGGTTCCATCCCAGATGTATGCTGCGTACTCGTGGACACGCCCCAGTAAGCAATGATCGCGCTAACTCTTTCGCCCCTCGATCACCAATCCGCTCACCTCGAAGCTCTTCAACGTGCTTGCATCGCTTCAAGTTGAGCGTAAAGTACTGTCGCTTTGCTGCCCCCATGGGAGCAGTACGGCTTGACTCCGTATCGTTGGTGAGTGGGGTGTTATTCACCCGAAGTATCAGCACTGTGGACGTCTCGTCCTGCTCTCCTGGTGGTGATGCAGCAGGCGTGTTGATAGCTGGGAGTAAACCATATCGTCTCCCCATTGCGTCGGAGGCATCGATACACTGTTGTAGCTTGTCCAGCGTAACTTGTTTGTCCTCTTCATCGCGCTTTTCCGCCTGCGCTATCTTCTCTGCAGCCTCGCACAATTGGTCTGCACGCTTGGCAGCCGCAATAGCAGCAAGCTTTCGCTTCTCAATGGAGCGGTTTTCAATGGAAAACTGTGTCAGTAGTTCAGTGCGCTTCTTGCTTTTGATGATTGCTACACTGTTTTCCTCGAGAAGTGTACGAAACTCAGTCTCTTTCAGCTTGGTGAAATGGCGCTGAGCCTTGCGCTTCATTTTGCGTTCACGCCGTGCTGCCTTTTCCATTGCTATTTCGCCACGGCGCTTTCTTTCTTGCTCTGCTGCTATGCAACCTGCTGCATTCTCGGCATGCCATTGAACCGCTGCCTTCCACTCAAGAACTGGATGGCGTCGCTTAGCGAGCATATCTTGCTGTTTCATTCTCAGTGCATTTGATAGACGCTGTAGAGGACCAAGAACCGGTTCATCGTCACTTTCCTCTTCCGAGTCATCGCTGTCTTCATAATCGCTCTCATCATCGTCATCTTCGCTCTCATCTGAAGAAGCCACGTCGTCATTTTGCGAAAGGGACTCAGGACGTTCATTAACCGGGAGTTGAGAGGGGTTAAACGCGCTCAAACCAGTCGTTCGAAGGCTTCTCAGTTGAGTAGACATGATGGGATGGCACGGAACCAGGCACAGCGAGCTTGGTGCCGCCTGAAGTAGTAGAAGCACAACATCGTCCCTTACTCTTCCCACAAATAGATCACTCCGATTTTGGGGCTTCGTTCCAGTGAAGTGTGTGTGTGTCGAAAGCGCCGCTTCTTCCCATGAATATCGCTTGCAAAGCGCAATTTGTAGGATCGCGTTGCAGCGGTGGTGTATTCTTAGTGGCATGAGGCCAGGAGTTATGGTGGTAGCTATGTTTGAGAGGGTTGTTCTATCGACTTCATTCACGCATTCTTCTCGTAGAAACCACTAGGATTTCTCACTTGCTCCGGCACAATATAAGAGCCAAGATGGTGCATGAACGCATTCCGATGGTAGTCCGTCTGCTGACGATTCTCCTCGCGTTGGTCGCTACAGGAACGGCCGGTTCCGGTGGCATCAAGAGCTGTGACTACGGACAGGAGATGTTCCGGTCCGGCACACAGGTGTACTTCCTCATAACTATCGGAGCGTTGGTCGTCATTACGTTTACCGTTCGTGTGCTGATCTTTGACGTCCGCAAACTCCGTCTACCAAAGGCGCAAGCGTTTGTGATCTTCGACTCAGTGTGGCTCATGTTCACGTTCGGGTCCGCCGTGGCCGTCGCAGCCGCTCCCGTGGGTACGTCAGTGTGTTCAGGCGTGGACGAGGACATCAAGATCTTGCTGCAGGAAGTGTGCGAGTTCCAGTGCACCAACATCGTCGCCGCTATCGTCACCATGTTCCTAGCGTCCGTGTGCATCGTGTTTGACATCCTCTTCACAACCGACTCCATCCCTGTCGGCAGCAGCGACCCGCCTGCCGAAGACTTCACCTTTGGCGAGACTGTAGGCACTCCACGCAGCCAAAAGGCCGCTGCCAACCGCGGCGCCGCCGAGATTTAAACCCGTTAATACAATTCACTTCAACTTGCCTCTCACATTTGATAACAGGTACATGTACCATTTTCACGTACCATTTATGCGGTACACTTACTACTTGGTGGAGACGCCTCAGTCTTCAAATCGCCAGCTACGTCGCAGTAGAGTCTTCTTGCTCTTGTACGTGAGCTTATCGCTTCCTTCCGGACACAAGACCCACAATGGTGCGTCCCTGCTTGCCCCCACACCTCCCTCTCCTTCCACACCACATCATCAGCCTTTAACGTCTCGTATTAATCGCAGGCGGAGCCTCCAATGCGTGAGGATTTCCCGCCCATGAATGGGCCGTACGGCCCGCGCGACGACTTCCGCCGCCGCAGCGACAGCCGCGACAACTACGACATGCGATTCCGCGGTCCACGTGGCCGCAGTCGTAGCCGCAGCCCGCGTCGTGGTCGCGGGGACTGGGAATCGGGTCCGCGCTTCGACGAGTCGGGCCCTCCACGTCGTGACGCACGCGCGTCTTCTCTTCCTGAGCCCTTGGTATCATACAAAGTGTGGATGATGCGGCAAACGGACGAGTCGTCGCCCGAGGTGTACCAGCAGCGCTACGAGGAATACAAGAAAAAGCACGTACAGCGTGTGTTGCGCGCCTTCTTCGAGCTGCACAAGCGCGACGAGTGGCTACAGGAACGCTACTCGCCGGCGCTGCGTCACCGCGTGGAGAAGCAGAAGACCACGCAGCAAATAAACGAAGCCAAACAGTTCGGCGAGCGCGTGCGGTCCGGCGCGGCCAAGATCTGCCTGGACGAACAGCCGCCCGCCGAGAACGGCGTCAACCCGCTAGGTGAAGACTTTGCCAATGATCTCGAGAACAGCGCGCGCGTCCTGTACGTGCGTCGTGTACCCTGTGCGTGTCCCGTTGGCACACTCAGTGAAGCCATCAAGAAAGCCGTAGGTGTACTGACTGTATTTACTAGATGGCATAGTAGAGTACTGATTTATGTTTTTTGCATCAGGGAGGGCCATTCGTGCACTTATACCTGTCGGATCCAGTGAAGAAGAGCGCGTTCGACTTTGACCGCTCGGCGTACATTATCTACGAGAGCGCGGACGCTGCCAGTGACGCCATGCCCAAGATCCACAATACCTTCGTGGAAGACGGCACCCAGTTCCCCCCGTTCCGTCTCCAGGTGTCTCCTCATCGCGCGCGTGCACCGCTCAAGACCCCGTCGTATCTGTCTGTGCCTGAGCGTTTAACAGCCGACTTTAAGCAGTCTCTTGCTCTTGCTAAGGCGCTGGACGCGCGTCTATTCCACGGCGCTGAAGAGAAACTGGCGCGTTTCGGTATTGAGGCCTTGTTGGCGTCCGAAGAAGTGACGCAGAACTACTCGAGTGATAAGCAGAAGCTGGACGTCGTCGTGGCCTACTTGCGCCGCGTACACCACTATATTTATTATGCAGGTGTGCAGTGTCTCGACATGGGTGACATCATGCACGCTCACCCCGCGCTCTTCTGCCGTCCGCCGCCTTCGGCGCGTGATATTGAGGAAGAAAAAGCTCGACAGGAAGCTGCGGCGAAACCAGAGGACGAAGCTTTGACGACGGAGAACAAGGACGATGCTGCGAACACCGAAGGGGAAAAGGAACCGACAGCTTCAGGACCTTCTGGTGAGACTGCGAAGGCTATCGGTGGATGGGCCGCTGCGTTGGATGAGAAGGTGCAGGCGTACTTGAAGGAATTGGCACCTGAGGTCGTGGAGACTAAGCGTGCTAAGGAACGTGCTCTGGTGGACGAGATTGAAGCTCGCGAGGAGGCTGCGCTGGAAAGCACGTACTCGAACTATGGAGAGAAGGCCAGTGATGATGGTAAACACCGTTGTCGTCTGTGTACGAAGCTGTTCAAGGCCATGGACTTTGTGAAGAAGCACATTCGTAACAAACACCCAGAGCTCGTGGTGGACAAGATCGCTGAGGTGGGCGAAAGCTACATGTGGGAGCAATACCGTGAGGACGAACAGCACCCGATGCCTCCGCTTGAGACTAGCAACAGTATGCCCGGTGGTGCTGTGCTGGGTGGACGCGCAGGAGGATCCAACGGTGGCCGCAATGGCGGAGGTTACCGTGGACGACCCGAGAGAGACTTTGGAGGCCGAGGATTCTACCGTGACGACGGCTATCGGGGTCGTGGCCCTCCCATGCGTGATGATCGGGTGCGACGGAGTTCCTTTGATCGTCCGCCGCGCTCGCCTCCTCGGTACAACGGCGGTGGCTACGGTCGCTCGCCTTCACGTGGCCCCCCGTCTGGCCCGCCTCGTGTTCCTGACAGCGAGTTGCCGGTGGATCCTCGCCAAGTGTCGACGTCGTACCGTGATCTTGACAACTTACAGGACACTAAGGTGGAGTTGAGCTTCGATGCTCTTGACAGCTTGCCGCCTCCCAAGAAGAAAACCAAGGTGTGATGACACTGTGCGACTCCATCAAGTTGAGGGCAGAGCTGCCCCATGCAAACCACAGCTAACCCGAGCGCTGTAACGAGCATACTCCAGAAAATCGAAAACCCGTCGAAAGTGGCGAACAGAATGAGGCAGCAGAATCTATTGCGCAGCAGTTACGTAGTGAGAGCGACGGGGAGTTTTCTAATTTGTGCCGGCGCTGACTATGGAGGAGGCTGCTGCGATTTGGCATTTTGAAAGAGCTTTGTTGTATGTGAGACCAATAAAAATGAAGAAACAAACTACTCACAGAATACCTAGCGCTTTTTGCGCCTTGTCTTCTGCTTGTGTTGTACTCATGAATCATGCGTCACGATCGTTCTAAGCGAAAGTTTTCTAGTCGTTCGTGATAATTGTCTTTGGTCTTGTGATTCCCAAGGTCTAGAACCTCAAAAGCAATCGCACAATATTTTTTCTTACTCTTGCAACAGACGCTAAGATTTCTAGTATCCCCGTTCGACTTTGTTATTTCTTACTTGTATTATAATACGATTTTAATATGTGTAGTATTCATATTCTTTATGGATAATATCACATTCTAGTTTGTACGGTCTTTTGATTGGTTTTTAAAACCGTTAAGGGGATTGGCCGGGATGGTATTCAGACGAAAAAAACCCATTAAATTTTTAATGGCTTTTTTTCGTCTCAATGCCATCCAACGGCATGGTTTATTTGGGTTATTCGGAACCAACTCAAAATAGTCCAATTTTGGGTCGTAATAAAAAATGCTTGGATGGTATTCTGACGAAAAAACCCCATTAAATTTTTAATGGCTTTTTTTCGTCTGAATGCCATCCAACGGCATTGAAGGCTCCTAAATAAGAATAAATGCTCCAACGGCATTGAATGCCTCCTTAATAAGAATAAATCCTCCCAAATGCCACGCAGGGGAGTTCCACGAGGAAGCGGGTATCCCCGAGGTCGAGGCCGTGGCAGCCACAGCAATGACCTACCTTCGGCTCCAGTGTCGCTCCAGCAAGGCCCTATTCGTGGTGAATGCCACGCTTTATGTCCCGCAAAAGAAGAAGCGGAACGTGCTCGAACGCAGGAGCTCAGTCGCTTCGAGCGTCCACTTGCAAACGCTCCAGCGCTCGTACCCGTGAAGAAATACCGTCGAGCAGCTGCAGGCCGCGATGTCTGGGACCCGCTGGAACTAAGACCAGCTCCAGTGCTGCTGCGCACTCTGCGTCACTTGTTCACGACGGTGCTGCTCTGGCCTCAGAGCGGCTTTGGTGCTTGGGAAGAGCGTGGATCAACACGAGCTGCAGAGTTTCTGGCCGTTTATCACTTTGTCAACGACCGTATACGCAGCGTGCGGCAGGATTTTACTGTGCAGGTATAGTATTTTAATATTAAAGGATATTGGAAAAATATCTAAAACTTGTTAATGTTGCAGAGGATTGAAGACGCGTCGTTGGTGACGGCGTTGCAACAGATAGCACGGTTCTATCTGCTGTCTGGACTACGGTCGGCTCAATTGTTGGTGTGTGTGAAGAATCAACAGGACTGGAGCGACAAGCTGAACGATGAACAGCTAGCGTCGGCTCTGTCACAGTTGCAAGTGCTGTATAATACGCACGAGTTAGCAGGATTAAATCACGAGGACGTTCCCGAGTTGAATGATGCAGGGGAGTTTGTGGCATACGATCTACTGCTACACGCTGACAGGCCTCAAGCTGTGGCCTGGTTGCTGCTGAAGCTGTCGTCTAAGCTACGTGGACTACCGATGGTGCAGCGTGCGCTTCGTGCGTTTGTGGCGTTGCAGACGGATAATTTTCACGCGTTTTTCGTCGAGTTTAACGCTATGACCGTGTTAGAACGAGCGGCTTCACTGCGTCACTACTCGAAGATATGGACTCGCAGTCTGCATATGATCAACAAGGGGTTCGGCAAACAGGATCGCTTTCCTTTGGAAGAACTCGCACGTTGGATAGGCCTTGTAGACCAGCAGAGCAAAGGCGAGGGCGGAGAACTCGCTGAAAGTCTGTGCAATGCCCTGAACATCCAGACACAACGGCACCCTCCACCGCCAAGTCAAACGGGTAGTGCCGATGTTGCTGACTCGTGGGAAGTTGATGATCTCTCGGACCAAGTAGCGTCGCTGACAGTGACGAAGCCACCCTCGATCGGGTTTGCTCAGTTCAAGCTTGCACCGTTGAATGACGAGATAGACTCGAACACTGTGCAGCAGCTTCTTCAACACGTTGCGCTTCGCATGGAGAATGAGTTCATTGAAAATGGATCGACGACAGAGCTGATCATGGGGTAGTCACGAGTGACATTTTGTAGTTTGATTCTTTGTTTAAATAATCTTACAGAATGACAACAGTCTTTCGAAAGAAATGCATGAAGTAGTAGCCTCCCTCGACTACTGCGTAATTGAATAAAATTCATGCCTCTTACTTAGTATTCGATGTGTTCACGACAATACTAGCGTTGCAGAACCACTTGTGTCTAGATGACTCGGTTTTGAGACGTTATTGCCTAATAAATGGGGTGAGAGGTGCGTTCACAACGCAGAATGGAAATCAACAAGTAATTTCAAAATGTGACAAGACTGCACTAGTTTCGGCGGATGAGATAGGGCAGCACGGCGTAAAACGTCTGCATTTAATAAAAATTGTGTAAGAAATCTCGTACACTGTGGATGAAGAGTGTAGATAAGAGCTTGCACGTACCACAAGGATGAGGGAGATGATGACGAGCCATTTCACGATAAACTTCATCACGTGGTTACCTGCACCGTCGAGGCTTCGAACAACCTGCAACAACAGTACGAGCAAGAACCACACAATCAGCAATAAACTCGAAAACGCTACCACTTCCTCACTGCTTACCTGGTTGTTCATCTTGAAGCACGTCATAGACTCAGCGAGAATGAGCTTCTTGGTCTCTTCGTCGTGAGATACAGCATCAATTTTCTCCTTGACCGTGTCACGAAGAGCCTGCCGCACACACACCAACGTTAATATTCAGACAATAAAATAAACTAACAAATCTGAGTATTTGCCGCATAAGTCACCTTGTTACTTTTGACGTCGAAGGCAAAACAGTTGAGCCCCTCCCCCTCCGGCGGCGCAAAGTTTCTCTTGACCAACTTCTTGATCATCGCCCCACCCGCGAGCATCGCCATGTACATGTGGTAGCAGTACGGCAGCACCAAGGTCGGGTCCTGCATCGCAAACCATAAGTCTCTCTTCTGTTCGCATTAGCATTGCGCTGGTAGCTTTTACCTTCTTCTCCAGGTCTTGCAAATGCCTAAAACAAAAGATAGCAGCATTTATGAATAACCAACAAGCGCAATTACACTAAACGGCATCTTTCAACGCACTTGACGTAGTCTTGCACGGCCTGAGTTGGCTGGTACTTGGTGCTCCAGTCCTCACCAAGGTAGAAGCGAAGGTCCTTGGCGATGCCGTCAGCCTACAGATAGAGCATCATATGTTATTATCGTTTTTTTTTTCATCAACAAACGATCAGAGTCTGACCCTGGCAATCACGTTGATAATCTCGTAGAGACCTCGAAAGGCTTCGTGATCTTTGTGCTCTAGGATGACCGACTCCAGTTGCGCGTACACGTAGTCTAGCAGCATTAGAGTACATTAAATAACTGCATTGTCACCTATATAAAACACTCTTTAAGTGCACTCGTAACGTACAGAAGAGCATCAGCGCGCGGCCGTACAGCTGCTTGTCCGTCAGCGCCACTACCAACTTCAGATTCACTAGACTAAAAGACACAGAAATCGAATCATTGTTACGTAACACGCATCGCAGTATGCAGCTACGCCCGTACTTGTCCGAGACGTTGTGGATCTCGCGCGTGGCAGCGCGCATCTGCCCCGTAAGCGACTGCGAAGTCGCCATCTTCTTGATAAGTTGTTCCTTTCAAATTATACTATCGTGGGTTTTATTCACAATAAAACACGAACATCAAGTGTAAAACCTGGGTTTTTGTGAAAAACAGTCACCACAATAGCAATGGATGCTCGTGCCGCTCGTGGCGTCTCCGCTACGGCGGTCGCAGAGGCTCTCGAAGCCAACCGCGCACTTGTAGCTGAGTTGCAAGGTCTAGAGCAGTCGCTCATGAAGGAAGAGGCCAAACTGTTGGCCAAAACGCAGGCAATTCGTCGTCGTATGGCTTTACGAAGGGCGCAGCAAGCCATGGACGCTCTGCTGCCTCGTATGCAACAAAACGAGAAAATGATGCAACGATATGAACGAAGCCCACGCACTAGAAAGAAAACGGGGGTCATGCCGCGCTCGTTCATCCGCCAACAGGCTTCGTTCTTCACTGACGAGGAAGAGCGCGAGCGGAAGGTGGGGAGACCCAAGAAGAAGAAACAGAAGACGTTGGAGCTTACAGGCGCCGAAGACGAAGAGCAGATGAGGCTCCGAGCTGTTTCAGAGCCTCCACCCAATGCTGACACGGAGTTTCTGCGTGCGCACAGCCACGAGGCCTTCGTCGCCGGCCCTCCGACCATTTTTTCGTCTAGAGAGCGGAAAGTCGTTAAGGAATTTGCCGAAGATTTTTACATGACGCATGCACCAAACGAGGAAATCCCATTACAAGTGTGGAACGGTATTTACAAGTGGCAGGGCATGAGGAAGTCGAGACAACTTCCCATTGAACGCTCAGGCTTTGCCTGTAAGTTATGGTACGACCTCCACGAGTCGTCTACCTTGCGTCTATGTGCGTGGACTAAAGAGGAAGACGCGGCGTTAAGACGCTTAGCCACTGGGGGAGTTGATCCTGCACTGGTGAACCAGTGGCATGAGATTGCCAAACGCATGCCTATCCCCGGAAGACCAGCAGCACACTGTCTAACTCGATACCAGACTGCGTTGTGTGCCGACAATGCAAAATCCGGATTCACACCCGAAGAAGACCAGATATTACGCCAAGCTGTCCCGATTTTTGGGGAGAAGTGGAACGTGATTGCAGATTTACTGGACGGTCGAGTGTCGGAGCAGATTCGCCACCGATGGCAACTCACGCTTGCTCCGGGACTTCGACGCGGCAAGTTTTCGGTGATTGAGGATCGACGGATGTTGTTAGCAATCCGCGCGTACGTTCCAAATGGCACTGAGTACAACCTGGAGCAAGTAGCTTGGAACGATATCAGTCACCATATCCCCGGGCGAACGCAGCCAGCGATACGTGATCGATTCCTCAATTGTCTGAACCCCGAGTTGTCGTTCCGTAAGTTTACCAAACAGGAGGATCAGATTATCCTGTCTAGAGTGCGAGAGTGGGGCGTTGAGTCTGCCAGACTGTGGCCACGTCTTGCTGCTGAGCTGGGTGATCGCACCGACTCGCAAGTATGTCGACGCTGGAGGTTTTTGGATCCAGAAGCGTATGAAAAGCGCAGTCAAGCATTAGAACAAGCCACTGCACAGCAGACAACCGCGGTGTTTCGTCGACGATCGATCCACCGACACGTCCCCAGTAATAGTAAGAAACATACCTCTCGAAGCACTTACAACGGTGAAGTTGAGCAAGGCGATCAGATCAAAGCTACTAGACGAGGACCAAGAGCTCGCACCAAGTGAAACACTGCGGTGCACCCTGTAACGATACTGCTGCAACGGCTTTAAGCAGTGACGCTATTCCCAGAATCCTCTTCAACGCACCGCTCACGCTCAAAATACTTTATCATTTGCTAGCTGATACCTGGCCGTTCACACTTGTTCTTGCCGGAGAGAAGACACAGCTGCCCAAATGGAGGTATTATCCGTCAACGCGACGTCTCTGACTCGTTCAAAGCACTCGTCACGCGGCTCCACGCCGCGTTCGAACACGCAGTACAAGATGGACGAGGATTACTCGTCTGGCAATAACAACGCACAACCACAGCACAATCCTGTGGTCACCAAGACCAAAGCAACGCGATGTTATCGTCCCAAGGAGTGGAGTCCCGAAGCCGAGGAAGCCTTCCGTGTGCAACAAACGGGTTGGCGCGACATGAAGGAGTACATGGAGACGTACGGTGAGCCCGAACGCTGGCAGAATGGCTTCGTGCGCTGTACCAGAGTCAAGGCCAACGGATACTACACCTACTGGCGACCACATCGCGAGTGCGACGACAAGTATCTGCACACTGTTAAGCTCTTCGAGTACGCCTAAATCCACGTCTTTAGACCAGAAAAAGGAGCTGCATTAACGCAATACACTTATCGCCTTCTCTTGTTTACTCCACGAAGCTGAGCTGGCCAAGTGCCAATGCCACGCCAATGAGAACGACAGCGACCCACCACAGTGTGTTACTGGACTCGCTGGGCTTTTTCAACTGCTGTTTAGTAGCTGGTTTGCTCGCTTCCGTTGCCTTCTCATCCAGTAGTCTCCCACCCCAACGTTCCTTTTCCTCTTTCTTATGCTCAGCCACTTTCTCCTTCAATGTCGACAGTGCATCACGGATATTCCTATCTGAAGGGTGGTGCTTAGCTGCTTTTGTCAATTTCTCCTTGGCTCCAGCAAGATCTCCAGTTAGTAGTAGCGCACGTCCTGCACGGTACAGCGCCTTGTCGTTCTCTGGGTCGATGGCAAGTGCCAGATTTGTATTCTCAATGACTTTGGACAGCAATTCGTCGTCGTTTTCTTTACCCTTCGGAGCCCCTTGGACCAGATAACATGCTGCCAGGTTCAAATATACCGGTAGTCTTACTACGTTGACATCTGAGCGATTCTTGGCCGTGAACTACAGCAACATAACGTTAGCGATACTGCAAAAAGTTGAGGATATAAAGTTACAGACCTCGAAATGCCACGTGCCCTCGTCGAAGTCCACGTGGTAGAGCGCGCGCTGGTACCACGTCACCGCCTTGTCGATATCTCCAGCTTTGAACTGCGCGGAGCCTCGTTGACGGCACAGATCAGCGCGCTCGATGCGGGTCTCGAAAATGCAGGAGCGTTCCTATCGGTGTTGCGCATCAAAGTTTAGAGGGATATGAATCAATGAATATTGCAAGTTTAGAGGCGTGGAGAGGCTCACATCGTGCATCAGCATCTTGGCTTCTTTATCCATGTCGACGTCAGTGGCTGGGGAAGCTGTGGCGTCGGCAGGAGGAGCGACAGCGTCGGCATCTTTCGCTACGGAGGTCATGATGAGTGACGTATGTCGACTTGTTGTTTGTAAAGATGGAATTTAAGCCAATAGAAGCGTGGAACTAAAAATGGCAAGTTTCAGATTCGAAAAATGGCAACAGCTCTCGCCAATATGGCATGCGATCTGAGCCAAGACGTGCAGGTGTGCCTCTCCATTTTGCCTCTCCATCGTGGTGGACAAGTCAAGATTATCCCTCACCCTTCAAGTCTCTGTTCGTTGACGAGCAGATACTCTTGCAATCCATTCAACGGAATTCTCGCTTGCGTTTGTGCATGAACCCCAACGACGACTCAACTCGGCGCTTGAGCTTCTTGAAGACGCGCTTCTTCCGACATTGCCACAACAGAAAGCATGCAGCAAAGCACAGAGCCACAAATTCCGGCACCAAAGCCCATCGGCGGCGAGAGCGGCCATTTCACCAGTGAAAAAAAAAAAGAATCAACCAAATTGGAACAAATTGAGAAGACACAATGCCTGGCTCAAAACCGTCGAGCGCATTTCTGTCATCCACCAACTTATCCGTAGGCTTTCGCCCTCAGTGCTCGACGAGCTCTTTCGGTGTGGAATGCCTCGAATGTCCAAAGCCCATGACAGCAAGTAGCTTTGTCTGAAACCACGTCTTCTGCTTTGGTGGTGCCTGTCGTCAATTTGTGGCATGGGTTCAGTCTTCCCGTCCATACAAACTTCCAGTGAAACCGTCCATCCCCTTTTTTTCTACTTGCCTCTCATTCGTGTCATCGAGTCGGACCGAAAGAGCGAGTCAAGCTGTGACTTGTGACCAAATAGGCAAAAGGAGACCTCGCAGTCTCCCGTGCATGACGACGAGAGCACAAAGCGGAGTGTTGCGTGCGATTAGAAGGCCTCACCACGCCCTGCAGCGCATTCTCTCAGTCTCTCCGACCTCAGCGGACGTTTCCTCGCTCTATTCCGGCCGCTTCAGGCCTCGGCCGCTCTTCTACTATCCCAAACACACAAATACTACGGCCGAATGCAGAGTGAGCGGTCTTCCAAGAGCTACAGCTTCATCTCCGAAGGCTCCTTCTGCGCCGAGAGCACCGCGTACGACTGGGATCGTATCGCTGCGCAGACTGGCGCCGGGGACGACGTCTACGGCCTTCGAGTGCCTCGAGAGCTGCGTGTACACTCGTCCACACCGACGGACAATGTGGACGACGTACTGAGTGTATCTCCGAGATCAAGAACAGCTACAGTCAGCAACACGTGCGAAGCGGGACAGAAACACTCGGTCGCGTTCGATCGGACTTGGGTAGACTCGGAGATTCCGGTTGTAGGCAGGTCTAGCTCCGCTCCACCGTCCATTCAGCTACTACAGGAAGTGATTCGACCGTCGGAGAGGAGGAGAGCCGCTACAGCGCCGCCCTCGGGCTTCTTTAACCACTTATTGTACGGCAGTTTACGAGCCGGAGCATTGGCAGAATTATTCTCGGAGCCTTACTGCGGCTTGGCCATCTCCGCCGCAGCTACCGGATTTATGGTCCCATTCCTCGCTGACGCATTCCAGCCACTACTTTGTGTCTATCTGAGCTTCAACAGCGACCAGTGCACCGCCACACTGCGCTTTCTCAAGCTTCCTGGCGTCATCAGCTTTTTCATTGGACTATTATCAGATTTTTACCCAATTTGGAGCTTCCATCGCAAGTCGTACATGCTGGGAGGATGGATTTTCGCCTATATGGCACTCATGGCACTTGTAATTGTGGCATTAGTCGACGACAGTGCAGGATTCATGAACCCCAGCGTCCGAACGTTCTATGGTGGCGCAGTGTATGTCCTTCTCATGATGGCTACATCTCTAGGTATCACAGTGGCCTCAATAGCGGCGTTTGCGTTCTTGGTGGAATTATCACAACGCGAACCCATTCACGAACGTGGCACGTTAGTGGTGCAGTATTTGTTGACGCAAGAGGCAGCGACGCTGTTGGCAGATATTGTGATATCGCTTGTTGTGGGCTACAATAAGGAGTCCGATACGACACAGGCAGTGATCTCGATGAAGGTTATTATTCTTATAATGGCGGTAGTGACGTTAGCACCGATTCCTGCGGTGCTATTCCGTCTAGACGAGGAACCCAGACAACTCAAAGTGGACTCGGTGGATCGATCGTCGCTTACTCATCAGCTGTGGAGTATTCTACAGCAAGAGGCAGTGTGGCGGATCATCCTGTTCGTCTGCTTCTCCGTGTTCCTGTCTTCGTTCAGATTCAACTTTGCCGACGACGCCGTGCTGTACTGGGCTAATGCATCGCCTGATGCGGAGCGTGTGGGCGAGATTCCCAAGCAGATGATCTTGATTTTATCCATCTTGACGTTCCAGTTGACGCTGTTTAATTACAGTTGGGTACGCATCTCAGTGGGAGGCTTGCTCATTGGAGTGACAGTGTATCTACTTGCAGCACTACCAACAATCTTCGATGGAGTTCGAAGTGCCTGGTATATATTGTCGATTTTGTCGTTGATTGGCGTTACGCGTGCGGCGGTGCTGCTGGTGACGTCGCTGCCTGTCGTGGAGATTACAGAGAATTGTCTGGAAGGCGCGACCACGGGTCTGGTGTCGTCCTACAATACGTTGATCAGTATGGTGATTTTGACCTTCTCGGATGCCATCAGCTCGTCGAGTGCAGACCTCGAGAAGGACTTTTCGGACAATGTGATCGCTCAAGACTCATCCGAGACGCGTACTCAAGTGCTGTCGTTTGTCTTGTCGAACTGTGCGATCAACTTGCTGGCGTTGGTACCAATTCTTTATTTATTACCGCGTCAGAAGTTGGAAGCTCAGGAGATGCGAACCTATGGAGAGTACAGTCGTCCTGCTGGAATCGCAATCGCTGTGTTGTTTGTAGGCCTTGTTGCTTACGCCGCCACGGTGAATTTGTTGGCATTGCTGAACGATACCAAGTGACTGGGGACACGATGAGGATGAATGGAGAATTTTTTTATGAAGTAGAGCATGACGTTTAGTTGTCAGATAGCTGCAAGTGCTCACTGTCAATATGAATAAGTTTTGGTAGGTAATAATGTGAATAAGACGAGCAGTTTTGACTCCTAAAATATTCAAGCTGATAACATTAATTCTTACCATAATACTTGTACTAAAGAATTTTGTGAAGTAGCAATCAATAGAAATCATTGTCAGCGAAACGAGAACGAAGCCCAAAAAAAGACTCGGAATGGGGAGGTGTGCCAGCTTTGTAGAGATTTTTAATTAGAGAATTTGCACTGATATCAGCAAAAATGAAAGCCAATCATATTTACTGAAAACGAAAATACTGTGTTTTATTATTATGTTCGGTCAACATATACTAAACTCATCACTTTCTCCTAAATTGGCTGATCATGCTGCGCCGCGCACTGGAACAGCTACGTGTGCACTCCCCCTGTCACTCATTCTCAACCGCATCCACTGCCGTCTCGGCTACATGTCTACGTGATATCGCTCGCGCTGGTGCTCGTGTGGTGGATCTACAGCTGCCCAAGTCTGGCGACTTAGTGTGTCGCCAACTAATGTGCGAACACGTTGGTGACGCCTGTGCCTGTCGTTTGGCACTGGCACTGGAGCGTGTACCACGTCTGCAGCGTCTCGATCTGTCCAACAACCAACTGCGCGCTCTACCGGACGCTGTGTACGCGCTGCAATCCCTAGCGACGCTCGACGTGCAGCACAACCGGCTGACGTTGCTGTCCACAGACGTTCAGAAGCTCACACAGCTCAAGATACTAGACGTTAGACACAACCAATTGAAGACTCTACCAGTGCAGCAGCTAGAAGCGTTATCAAAGCTCCAGACGCTGCGAGTAGCCGGCAATACCGAGTTGCTACAATCATTGGAAGACGGACAGCTCTCCATGTCGGACGAGTTAAGGAACAAGATCGTGCTGGAGTAGATAGCGAGTCAATAGAAAGAACTTTTAACTAGAACTATGAGATCCTGGGCAACGTGACACCGGAGCTGTCGCTGTTAAGTCGATGAGACGAGTCTCTGTGGTTGCTGAGGTTCCGTGTGCTGTTCATGGTCGAATTGTGGTTCTCGTGGCTCAAATTCCGACTGGGACGACGTGTGATCGTGTGCGGCGAAGGTTTAGACACTCGTCTGGATGAATTGTCCGCGTTAGAGGCAACACCGAACGCGGCGTTGCCTCGGTTGCTCATAGATCGAGCTATCGCCATCAGCTGTCGCCCCGTGGGTTTCTTTCTCACGGGCGACGGCATCCGCGTCTCGCTTTCAGCTTCGTCGTCTGTTGCTCCGGTTATCGACCTGTTCCGGGTGCTGTTTGCTTTAGAGTGAGACGAGTCCTCGTGTTCGTCTCCTATAGCCATCGCGATGGCGTCCGACAGGTCACTGGCACTGCTTCTTGCCGACCCGGTTTGGCCCATTAACGCCGTTGCCATCTTGGCGAAGCGCGAGTTCTCAAGACGTAGCAGACATTTATTCGGACGCACTTTGAGGATCTGGAAGCGACCGAACAGTTTGTCTTGAATGGTAGCGCCGGACGCCGGCACAACCGGCGCGAGGACGGACAGGAATGATCGCGGCTCGGCCGGCACGAACCGCGCGTCGTCGATGGCCGAACTGCGGAAGTCCCAGCATACAGGCAATGGCGTCTCGTACCGTAGCGTGCAGCCGGGTAGGAAGATCCAGTCCTTTTCCGTGGCGGCACGGAGGACGGGAAGTGCCGGTGGCATCGCGGCGGCTAGCCGGTCGACGCGTTGGATGCCGGCCGGGTCCAGTTCGAACATGGCCAACAACGCCGTCACGACGCCGGCCTCCATCAGGTTATCCATCTCTTCAAACTCTCTTCTTATCGGTAGATCAGAGCCTTCGCTTTCATGCGCTTGGATCATCGCTAGTCTCTCTTTGATACGATGTTTAACATGTGCCAGTGCAACGGCACATGCCGGCGCCATGTCACTGCCACCGTCCGTTGAGAGGCGAATAAGCAACGGTACGACACCACTGATCACCATGGCGTCCAAGCCGCGCATACCTTCATTTCCTGTGCTCTCGTCTGCACTATCGTCAACACTGACGCGACAGGAAGTCAGGTTGTAGAAGGCCAGGATAACATGCTTACTAGCCTGGATCTGGCGACGACCGGGACAGCACGTAGTCACGATAGTACTAAGCAACGGCACGAGGCGTACATTACGCATGAGCAGGAGGCAAACAGGCTCTCCTTGAGTCGACAGTGCACGGAGAATGACAGCGCACCGCTCAGCCATTTCTTGACGAGCTTCATGGGCCTTTTTGTCCAGGTCGTCGCTGAGATCGAGCGCGTACGCCACCACGTCCACGGCTCCATCCGCGATCACACTCACTCCAGACTTCTCACAGCGAGCCAGTTGACTGAGAGCGTAGATAGAAGCACGAAGCGCAGTCTGAGAGACTGAAGAAGGACGATCAGAGAGGTGAATAATCTCGCGTAGTACTCGGACAGCACCAGTAGCTATCAGTTCGTGCCAATGCAACGGGTCTTCACACAAGACGGCGATGATCTCAGCGCAGACATCACCAACGCGTGAGCTTCGTAGAGAGTGTGGCCGACTCAGCAGCGTTGACACCAGGCCGTGAGTCAGCAGTGCACGCCGGTGTCTCGCGTGGAAAGTCAAGTTGGCTAGAGTCTGCACACACGCCAACACCATCGCTTCATCATTGTCTTCTGCGTTGGAGTTTAACGCAAGAACGCGGATAATTTGAGATACAGCGCCGGCCTCTTCCATGCGGTCGTGTAGTGCCGGATAACATGAAATGTTACACAACGCGTTGAGTGCGTATTCGTGCTGTTGTCTCTGCTCCAGCTCCACATTTGAACTCTCAGTTCCTGCATCCACTGGAGCAAGTAGCAGCTTCTTGGTGAGAACGTCCACTAGTCCGAGTGTAGCCATGGCTTCGCAGTTGACTCGGTATGCTGATAGAAAACAGAGTGCAGCGGCACAGGCGTGTCGTGTGGGTGGGTCGGCGTGTTCGCATAATACCAGCAAAGCCACGAGCGCACCGCTTTCTACCAGTCTCGCAGCCATACTCGAGGAACTACCTGACGCAGTAGCATCACTACTTTTCTTGCCCGACGGAGGCTTAGGTTCCGCTGCCAAGTTGGTCAGACACGCAGCCAGTTTGCGATGAATCTCCTGGCTACTGAACTCCATCTCGCAGAGCTTAGTGATGACCTGAGCCACCTTGAGTTCCATCAACGTCTCTGCTAGTGCCGGGTCACAACTGAGGTTATACAGCGCTGTGACGCACAGTGTACGGATCTCTACGCTCTCCAGCCGCGCAAGTTTAACCAGAGCGTATAGCACGCCGTCTTTGATATGAGCTGCGCGTAACTCGTCGTGCGTGAGTAAGTTGAACAGTGCGCGCGCGCAGATCTCCTTGGTCGAGTCGCTGTTGATACGTAGCAGTGCGTTCACAATAAAATCCGGTACAGTTCCTTCCTTCCAGACGTATCGTACGCCCACCGGCTTAGCTGCTGGCGGTTCTACAGCCAAGTTACACAAGGCTACAGCCGAGTAGATCTGGATATCCTCTACGCCGCAGCGCATCATCAAAGTCAGTGCCGGATACAACTCCGCACAGCGTGTAAGTACGCCGCGGTGCGTCGCGCTAGACGCCAGTTTAGCGAATGCGATGGCACACGTTAGCGTCGTAGGGCCGTACGACGACGCCGACAAGTCTATGAGCATATCCAACACCGGAGTCTTCTCTAACGCGTCCGCTGCAAGGTTGCAACATGCCGTTGAACAGCATCGCAGCGTCTCGCGGATTATCGCGACGGCGGACGCGCTTACAGGCACATCCGAAGCTGCTGCGGCTGCTGCTGACGCCGTCGCGGCGCTCATGATACGGCGGATCAAGCGAACGCCGTTGTCTGCCACCATACGAGCACGCGCTTCGGCGTCAAAGGACAAGTTCGCAAGAACTCCGGCACACTGACGCAGTAGCTCATCAGCTTTGACTGGAGGTTTGTTGAACACTCTGGACAATGTTGCAACCACGTCCGCACGTAGCAATGCAGCTCGGCTTTCCTGCGCGAACGAGAGATTGAGGAGACAACCTAGTGCACATTCCTGGTACCGTAGCAACACTGTCGGTGGCCCTGCGGTTGCAGGCGTGGAAGGCAGTCCAGAAGCTCCGACGGCCTCGTCATCGACGTCTCCCTTTCGTCTACAGAGTCGTACAATAGCACGGATCGTGTCGTCCTGTAGCAGAACGCCATGCAGACTCTTCTCACACGAGACGTTGAACAGCGCGTTGGCACACAAGTCCCGTACCCGGTCGTATGGAGTGCGTATCGCCAGTCTCGCTATCGCTGCTGGCATGTTACTCTGTAGAATCTCCACACAAGCTGCTGGATGTGCCAGCATGCTACAAAGCGTGAGTCCAGCGAACTGTTGAGCCAACGCACTGGCGCCGGCGTCGCTGCCTTCGTCTTCTTCTACAAAGCGGAGCAGTAACGAGACGACGCCAAACCGCGCCAATAACGCTCGACTATCGGCTGTAGCGGACATATTGGACAGACACAGCGACGTATTCTCACGGACAGAGGTACTCGAGTGGTGCGTTCCAATCTCAACGAGGTTCGCTACCGCATCACTAAGCGCCAAGTTCTTGAGCGATGGCGGGTACGACGAGATATTCGCGATAGTAACCGCGCACATTTCACGCACTTCTCGAGGCTTCTCGCACTTCAATAGCTCTCCTAGACACTCAAGGATACGGCCGTGACTTAGCGGCTCTAAGTTGCCCGAAAGACCCGATAGGTTACACAAAGCAGTCGCCAAATGTTTACGTATAGTCCCGACGTCACCTCCGTCTTCTGAATCGTCCGCTGTAGCGGCGACAACACTCGTTTGTTGCGCTAATTCACACACTGTATCCAAGATGCCTTCTTCGACGACCTTGGCTCGAGAACCACTCAATAATGACAAGTTACATATGGCTTCTGCTGCGAATTTCGAGCTGGTTTGGTCCTTACGAGTTGCCAGCTTCATGAGTACGTGGACGACGCTCTCAGCTACTGTGGTGCTTGAAGACGACGCGATGTTGATGAGCGCTTTGACACAAGCTTCTTTGGTCTCCAAATCCGGTACGTTAAGCATCGAGAGAATAGCAGACACGCAGCCTTCCTGTACGAGACGGAGCTGACCTGCACGTTCGTACGAGAAGCGACACAGCGCCATACTCGTGTGACGACGTACTTCTTCGTGCTGCGCTTTGGCCAGTTCCAGAGACGCTAGTAGCACACCTTCGTCTGCCATTTTAGTGCCAAGTACCGACTCGCACAAGAGGTTCAAGATGGCTGCAGCGCAGAAGCGCTTCACCTCCATATCTTCGAAGATGGCCAGCTTACTTAGCGCCAACATACATCCTTCACTCACCATTTGTCGTTCGTGACCAGAGATCGTTGAGAAGTGGTAGATACTGAAGGCACACTCCTGTTTCAGTCGGATCTCGCGACTCAGTCCTGCACTAAAGTCCAGCGCATCGGCACTGGGTTCCTGCTCCTCATCGTCTTCGTCTTCTTTGCTCTTACTGGGGCGGTTGATTAACGTCGCGTTACTATCCACGACGCTATCGAGTGACCCACTCACTCGACCCATTGTGTTCGACAGCGTCGTGGGTTTTCGAAAGCGAGACAGGTAAATCATCCCATCTTCGTAGTTGCCACGTTGTCCGAAGAGATCGCCGCTGTATCCACTGAAGACGTTATCAACGCGTGGGCCTCGACTTGGTGGAGTGGGTTTTATTATGGGTCGAGTTCGAGGTGGCTCGATAAAAGACCCTGAATTGCGTCGTGGTGGTGGAGCGGGTGCTATTCCACTTGGACTATTCACCACGTGAGATGAAGCGTGGCCGTTGTTTTCATCCCGAGTTTCTTGTGGGATGATCTTGGTGTTGATGTGGCGGTAGAGTGTTCGTACGAGATCTTCTTTGGTTGTGTTGGTCTTCCAGAAGTTACGTTGGCGATGTAGTTTCCAGTGTTTAGCGAGTTCTTTTAACTCTTCGAAGCGAATTGGAGCCGCTGCGGGATCACGTTGCCGAGGGAACAACTCGAACCGTGTAAGGTACTCTCGAAGCACATCCAACTCCTTGTCACGCTCCAGTTCCTCAAGCAAATCCTTCGTGTGTCGTGCATTCTGGGACAGCCGATGGCTCATGACTCGGTCAAAGTCGAAGCCGGTTACCCACCGTCACTTGACACGATTCTCACTGCGGTGCTATTCCTTCGAACCGCTGTCCGTTTCTGCCGGTAAACCTAGATGAAATGGCGTGCTGTTGCGCTGGACTTGATGCTAATATTGCCTCCCTATTCTTAGGGGTCTCAAAACAGGACGAAGGTGCTTTGTAGACTCGACTCCCTTGGTCCAGAACTGCATCAATCTCTTGTTACTGAAGAAAAGCCATGGCGTTGAAGAGCTATCACCGTGAAACTTTGAATGGTACGATGTGTAAACTCTTCACTTTTGTCGGATTGATACTGACGTCGGTCGAATTTCTTCAGATAACTGGTACGAAGAGCGCGCGGAATCTCTGAACGGTGTGCTTCCTCGTGACGGTGTGGTAAGTATAGAAACTCCTCTTCTTGAGAAGACCCTCTTCTGATTAGACGCGTGTTTGTAGAAAGAGTTCAAGACGACCCATGCAACAGACTTCAACGGCGCCCAGCCGATCATCCCGGTACGTCTGACGCAATTCTCCCACTCATAAATGCCTGTAGCTGACACATGCTTGTTGAGCGCAGCGCCAAAAGCTACGCATGATCAGCGATAACAACATCGACGAGGCAATTCGCCAGACTGCGTCACTTGATTGGAGTAGAGGCTTTCGTTCCGTCCTTCCCGTGCCAGACCCAGAGCCTGATCGTGGTATGATCTCGACGCAGCATCGAGTGCATGTAAACCACTTCGCGTCGTCAAAACCCTCATTCACATCGACTGCTGGGGTAATGATCGCAGCAGGAGGACCTGGTGGAAGAGCCGTCGAGCGTGGCAAGGCTGTGTCAGGGGCAATGGGCGAGGTCTACAAGAAGAGCTCCGAGCCGCAGAGAGACACGCTAGCGCAGCGATCCTGGATGTACTCGACCGACCCAATGATTGTTGTCAGGCAGAAGCGTGAAGCCCTTGAAGCGACGAAGTTCACGACGCCTCCAGAGCCCCAGCAAGGCAACAAAACAGTCAACTACGGACGACAAATCACTGCCATCACGAGTATCAGACACCACCACAAAGGAGTCTTCGTTGACGACGAACCGGGATACCCACAGTAACCACAGCTCCAAAGAAAATCTAGTCATAAAAAACAATTTAGCAATTCAGTTTTCATCCATTCTCCTAGATTGTTTCAATCACTTGTCGCACGCTTCCTTCTTCATGTTATTGAGACGCGCCGTTCTCAGCAAGACACATTCGGTAGCAGCTCTGCGCACACACAACAAGTGGAAAGTTAATGAGTATTTCACCCGGGCAGATCTCACGAATCCCTGTAACTTTACCAAGAACTCTTCTTCCGTCATATTGAGCAGATCCTCATCGTCCACTCCGTCCAATCGCTTGGGCTGGCCATTAACCGTGACCTCCGTGTCATTGACGCCGCCTTCGTCGTCTGTGCACCACTCCCACTCGACGTCCTCGAGCTCTTCTTCGTCCATCGCGTCGCCATTCATCTCGGCGTCCCAGCCCTGTTTGTCTACCTGCACCTGCACTTCTCCTTCGTGGTTCTCTTCGTTGTATCTCTCCAGTTCGGCCATATACGCGCGCTTGAACGCTTCTTGTCTCTGTTCTTCAGTCATCTCACTCTGCGTGAGCGGATCCACACCCTGCAGGCTTGTTTCCATAGCAATCGGCTTCTCATCCGCCACAGCAGGTTGCAAGTGCTTCGCCGCCATATGTCCACTGATAGAACTGCCCTGCAAGAACTCTGGTAGTGCTCGCGGAGCTGCAACCTGTTGATTCGCCGCCTCCTTGTCCTCCTTCCGCTCCCTGCTCGTTAAATACTCGTCCTCTGCATGGTCGTTTCCTGCAATATCGACGATAATCTCTTGATCCTGTGCCCCATATGGATACAAGTACGACTGGCTGTTCTGATCGTCTCCACGGCTGCCACCGCCGCCGCCTCCTCCGCCTCCTCCTCGGCCACCTCCTCCATTCGAGGCATTAGCACGAGCGCTTGTGCCTCCTAGGCCAGCAGCGCGGTTGTCGCTGGGAAGATTACTCGGGAGCGTGTGTCCTTCCTTTACAAAGTCGCCGATACGACGTAAAACCTCATAAATACCTTCGTGCATGCCGTTCTGCTTGTTCATCTGGTCCTTAAACTTGCGTTGCAGGTTCTGAATCCGCAGAAGTCGATCGTTATTGTCACATTCCAGTAGTAATTCATTGCAGTGTCCACATCGGAACTGATACTGTCCAGGCATCAGCAGGAGCTGCGCCTCTAGCGCTGTATACTCTCGTCCACACTCAGGATCACTGCATTGGAATGTTTGTCGCTCGATCTCCAACTGCTCACTGTCTTTGAGATGCTCGTGCATCAAGTACAAGCGATACTGTACCACGTCCACAAAGTATTTGTAGTCAATGTACCAGTACGACGTGGACGAGCTGCCGCCCAGCCGCTTGTCGTTCAACACCTCCCTGCTCGCATTAAATAGTACATAGTAAGCATTAAACTACCTCAGAAAGCGTGGAGTATGGGCTGTAGAACACGCGTACTCGCAGACGAGGTTGTCCTGGTGCAGCTCGTTCATGATCTTGCGCACTTGACGCGTCTGTAGGTTCACGGCGTTCCCCATCTCATCGTCCTGTGTGGTGCAAGGATAGAAATAATATTAATTGTCAACAAATTAAAGCGTAATGGTACGAGCACGCAAGACGGGGAGAGACCTTCATGAATTTTTCGCGGATCAAGGCGCTGAGTACGACGACATGCTCATCCGAGTAGAACGCGCTAGGTGGAGAGGAATAAGGCGGTACTTAGCGGGGAGAGTAGGGAGAGGTAGCTAGTGAGACGACGTACCGCCCAACGAGGTTTACCAGCTTCTCCACGAGCCCAGCCATCGTCGAGGACGTTAGTGTTTTGAATTAGTCACTGAATCAATTATGTACATGAAGTGGCACACAAACTGAGCCAAATAGACCAGTTTGATTGGCTAAAATTGGAATGCCTCGTCCAATTGCCTGCCTAGTCAAAAAAAAATTATTGCAGAAATTAGGAACATTTGGACAGAAATCATAGTAGATAAACTTATCCGATTTGCGTCTAGGTCGAACGCTTAAAACGTGGGCATTTGGTGCATACCCCTTTTTCGCCGAAAGACCGCATAGTTGCGTCAGGGTCGGCCCCATAAGACCCTCCAGTCAGCTATCCCCATTAGTTTTGACCCGCTACGCCCGTGCAGGTGTAGCTACGGCACTTAAAGAATGCACTAGAGCAGCTAATATGTCAAGACATGGCATTCCATCATACTGCAGGTTTAAAAGGCCAGTATAGAAGTAGAACGGACTTTGCACTTATCGGCAGGTCTTGAAACGCTCCTACATCGATGACACAGATAATAGTGTATCTAGTAAGTGCTAAGCGAAACCAATCCGTAGAGGGCAGGATCACGATGGTCTCGACGAAACGACCCGTGATTTACTGCCGTGGAGGCATTTCCTCATTCGGTCATCACTATGAATGGGACAGGTAGACTTGATATACGAGTTAGGCTACGTCTCAGTCCTACCACAGGACAATAATTTTGTAGTAGGGGAGATGCCGTCCTCGAAGGACACCTGCTTGAGCCGCTAATCAAGTATTTTGGAAGACAGTAAAACAAAAAAATCTACTGACAGCCAGGCTCCATCTTCGTGGATCGCTATTCTCGGGTTCGTGCTGATGCTCTGTGCTGGATCGCCGAGCTCTGACCTGTCAAACAGTGAATGAACGAGGAAATTATCCGTTCTTCTACGGCTCGGAAACGCACAGCTCAGATCGGCTTCACTCGTACTTAACCGAACACTTTCCTCCTTCGGTCAACACTATGACCGGGGATTGTAGACTTGAATAGCTCGAAAAATTAGGCTGGATGAACTTCCCCCTCGACTGCGATAGTTCATGGCGCTCCCAAGTCGAGCCCTTGATCATGACTTACCGCTTCACGTACCAATTCAGGTGTATACCGAAAAGCACCAACTTGACCATCGGCCTATTTGCCGGATGACCAGGTCACTGTTGCCGACCGGTAACAGAGCACATGCCCCTCCAATTCTGAGCGAGTGACAGGGGTTGTCTTTTGGAGACAGTCCCATATCCTTCGCCGCATTCTTGATATGGCTAGCCACCTGATTCGTCTTGATTGTTTCGCTCTGAGAGAGATAGAGGTGAGATACGGACCCAGGGTCACATTCTCCTTACGTCACTTTTTTTCGCACTCGTAGACATTTTTGTGCTGCTGAGACTGGATACAACACCGGGTAGCCTGAGTGGTAGTGCCAAAAAGTTATGCCCTGGCCGTTCTGGTCTCCTTTGTGAGACTCGAATAGTATTTCCACGGTGTGGTCCAATGTGCTTCCCTTGCTTATCCACGTGGTGATATTTGTGTCTTCAGGCAGTGAGTTCTGTCCTCTCCGGTTGATCTGTCAACGGACACTGGACCTCAGAGCTCTGAGCATCTGCTCAGGAAGAAGTAGCACAAATGATTGAATCCCAGAAAAGACGCCCTCGCAGGGTCTATGGTACCTAAAAATCTCTTCCACCTTGAGCAGCATTGGTGTAGTAACTGGATGCTTCCGCTCTACCTGACTATTTGCGCGCTTGTATCCTTGAACAACAATCTCAAATTGAATTTGCCTCGATGCCTGCGAACTCGTTCTCGAAGGTCAGATTGCTCCACCAGACCAAGTTCTTCTGAACTCCGGCGTCGAACGCATGCTTGTGTCATTTGCGACACTAGTTCTGAACCGCGACCGTTGACTGTATGAGTGGCTTTGTGATGAGGATGAATCTGATCCCATGGCGTAAAACTCCAATCAGACTATCCAGTTATTTCAGCGTTATGAACTTCTTCTTCCTGGCCTCTCCGATTACTCTACGTAGCTTGTCAATCTTCCTCTGAGGAACGGCGATGAACTCGTTTGCGATGTTCCAGTCAATACCCACCGCGTGGAATATGTGCTGGTGCTTTAATGAGAAGATGGAGCATGATGAATGTTCATTATTGTTCCGGATTAGTGACATTGGGATGGTCCACTTGTGGAAGATCATAATGAATGCCTGAAGAAGTTGGATCAAGAGACGGGTCCTGACTCGACATACACCTGGTGACCAAGACCGTCAGGATCTAGAGTATGTGTGTCGTGATTTGGAGAGATCTGCTGCGGTCTGGAAGGTGGGGACTACGCTGCAGATCAGTCAAGATCCGATATGAAGGACAGCTGGACGACGAAGTCCAGCAAGAAAAGGCAGGTACATAGCTGAAGATGAGAGGTGTAGTGGTAGTGAAGGAAGAGTCAGTTGTTGTATAGGACCTAGCTATAAATCGGAGTCGAATTTGCATTGTGTTACACAAGTGCTTCCTGCCCTCGAGATCCGGAACGGCGTTGTCCGTACGAGATCGGTGAAGGTTGCGAACAGCAGATCTAGTGTTGATTATGATACCTGGATAGTACTTTGGCACGGTCATACCACCGCGTGAACTTTCCCTTACAAGTGCAGATCAAGGAGGATAACCGCATTTACTGCTTGACTGGGATACCTATCGACTCTCAACTATCGAGAATCCACTTTAGGAACCGTCAAGCTCGGCGAAAAGGAAACTCAAGGAAACTCACCCACAAGGCAACCTACTGTCGGCTCGCAGGCCAAGGCTGCCAAATCCTACAAGCTCGAGATATGTGGACCCTACATCGGACGTAGAGTGAAGATCTTCGACCACTACTCCGCACAATCCTCATGTCTCGCCTAGACATTCAAGCTTCACTCTCGTCGAACCTCTGCCGTTACCAGAGGGGCAAGATCCTGTCCTACCCACGGATACACAAGGTGAACCAGTTTGGCAGATCCCGGATCACCGGGAGACCCCCTCCGTTTGTAGATATCTGTGTACTATTGGGAAGTTGGATCCAGCAATCTCGCAGACTTTGCTGATCCTGCAACACCACAATGCGCTTAACGTGCGCTCGGCGTGGATGATTGAAACTTTATTTTATCTATTTGCTATGTAAGCAAATCTGGCATGTGCATAAAAAGTTCAAAGTTGACTTTCTAACCCCAATATTCGGATTCTACGTGAAAAACTACGTCTAGCCTGGAGTTAGCCGGGGCACGCACCACGTCTTTGCCCCCAAACACACGTTTGAAAGTGGTTAAAAATAGAGTATACGATTTGTCAGGTTTACGTTGAGATATCGCAGGCTCCGACATGTCCACGTTAAAGATCACCACAAAGTACCCCTAGAATACCCTTGAGACCACTTCTAAAGGTTCCGCATCCCCTTCATAAAAAGCAAAAACAAAAGTGCAATTTTTTTTCGTTTTGCCATATGTGAAGGGGTTAGGGTCCGAATTGGACTTTCTAATCTCGATATTCGGACTTGGCACCATGCTTTAGGTTGGACAAAAGTAAAGTGAAAGCTCAAGTAAAAGCAACTCCATCGTTGCTCCCCTTCGCCTTCTACTGGGGTCCCTCGACTTCTCACTCTTGTTGCAACATCGCAAGATCTCATAGGTCTCACTCCGAGCTTCTGCCAATCTCTGCGAGTTCCGACGTAAACTCCCGGTGATCCGGGATTTGCACTTGACTAAGTGGCTAGATCCGGTATTTATACTAACCATACAGTTAAAAAAAAAAACGACACTAACCGTACTTTGCTAACCTGCAAGCGGCTTGTTGCTCTCTTTCTTCACCGCAGAGAAGACACTTGTTCTCACCTATGCAAATTCCGGTCTGATTCATGTGTTAGCCTCGTGGTCCCATCCTAAATTCCCATCATCACGACTTCCAGACGACCATGTGTGTGACGGGTCACACAGCACCTTGCGCTGAGGAAGTTGGCTTCCAAGAGTA